ATGTGGGTTACAGTTGAGGTGGTAGTGGAGGGGTGGAGGGGTGGAAGGGTGGAAGGCGACTGGAGGTGGAGTGTTTCATACATATTCTAAAATTTACAGACTAGACCTGCAAAGGGCTAAGGGGCAGGTTATAAAGTTAGAAGAGATGACCTCACTGATTTTTCTTTCTATCTTTCCCTGCATTTTTTATTGCTGTTCAAGTACAGTTGTCTCCATTTTTCCCTCCACCACTCACTCCCTCCCCTCCCATCTCTCCCCCCTCCCATCTCATCCCCACCTCCCATCCTCAATCTTACCGTCCTGGGCTTTGTCCATGTGTCCTTTATACATGTTTCTTTTTTTAATGTATTTTATTGATCATGCTATTGCACTTGTCCCATTTTCCCCCCTTCACTCCCCTCCACCCTGCACACCCTCTCCCACCCACATTCCCCTCCTTTAGTTCATGTCCATGTGTCATAAGTTCTTTAGGTTCTATATTTCCCATACTATTCTTACCTTCCCCCTGTCTATTTTCTACCTACCATCTATGCTACTTATTCTCTGTAACTTTTCTCCCTCTCTCCTCCTCCCACTCCCCATTTATACATGTTTCTTGACAACCTCTCTCCTTCTTTCCCATGTTATCCCTCTCCCCCCTCCCCTCTGGTTACTGTCAGTTTGTTCTTTATTTTAATGTCTCTGGTTATATTTTGCTTGCTTGTTCATTTTGTTCATTAGGTTCCTGTTAAAGGTGAGATCATATGGCATTTGTCTTTCACCTCCTGCCTTATTTCACTTACCATAATGCTCTCCAGTTCCATCCATGCTGTCGCAGAGGGTAGGAGCTCCTTCTTTCTTTCTTTCCAGCAGTATAATGGAATACTATACTGTTGCATAGTATTCCATTGTGTAAATGTACCATAGTTTTTGGATCCATTCATTTATTGGTGGGCACTTAGGTTGCTTCCAGCACTTGGCTATTGTAAATTGTGCTGCTATGAACATTGGGGTACATAGGTTCTTTTGAATTGGTGTTTCAGGGTTCTTAGGGTATAGTCCCAGCTGTGGGGTTGCCAAGTCAAAAGGCTGTTCCATTTTTAGTTTCCTACGGAAATTCCACACTGTTTTCCACACTGGCTACACCAGCAGCTTTTTTAAAAAATGGAATTTACTGGAGTGACATTTGGCTCACTCCATCACAGGTTTCAAGTGTACAGCTCAACAAAACATCATCTGCACCCTGCATTGTGTTCCATCACCCCAAGCAAAGTCTCTTCTCATCCCATTTACCCCCTCGGCCCACCTCCACCTACCTGAACATTTACTACCATGCTGAGAAAGTTCCAGAAACTGCTACATTCTCTAAATACCTATTCCACAGAAGGCTGCATTCTCACCATCACTCTGTAACCCCCACCTCCATCTTGCATGAGCACTCTTTCCCTTGTAGCTCTCTCTATCTGTTCCTGAGGGATGTTAGCCTTGCAGGTAGAAATTTTCAGAATTATTTTCTACATCAAAACTGAGTGGCTCTGTCCCCAAGGTGCCTCTAAATTTGGATAAACCTCTATTTGAACAAGAGATTTCCAGAGACAAGTAGAAACTTGAATATTGGAAACTGAAGATCCAAAATGTCTCAGCCAAGAAGCACAAGCAAGTGACAAAGTCATTTCTGCCTTTGGATTCCAAATATAAACATGGTTTTCTGTCTTAGAAGATTACCTGAGCAGCGTGTGGAGGAGGTTATTTGGATCTCCTGCTTTTTAATTAACTTTAGTTTAATTTCTTAAAGTTCTCATTTGGCTTTTTCAAAAAACAATGTATAGCCTTTGAAATCGCTATAAACCACATAGCTCTGCTACTTGAAACCAACGAAGTAAAGAAAATCTTTCACGTATAATTATTACTTCTACTGGCAACAATAAAGAGAACTTAGCACATACATAACACATTACATGATCAAATTGATTCAAAAATTAAATTATTTAGCTTCAGGGTCTATTCTGTTACCATTTCCCTGGGGCTAACAATTTAGACAACATGAACATTCTCAATAAAAAAATTTATGGAAAAGAAAATTTCCAGGATACTTCAGTTGTTAAAATTCCCATATTTGCATGCTATAAAATGTAAGGCCTTCTTCTATATTTTGGCCATATTTCCAAAGATCTCTGAAAACTAATGGTCACCAATGTATATGATTACATTATTGACTGAAGCACTGCCTATAATTGCAAATAACTGAAAACAATAGGGAATTGGTAAATAATGGCTCATTCAAACTATGGATGAAATATAGATGGAAAAATTATAAAGCACTTTATGTACGTTAAGAAAGGATCTCCAAGATATATTTTCTAATGAAAAATGCAAAATAAAGAATACTGTGTTTAGAAGACTACTAATTCTGTTGGGGGGGGTAAAGAAAAATATATACACATAGCCCTGGCTGGTATGGCTTGGTTGGTTGGGTGTCATTCTGCAAAGTGAAAGGTCAATGGATCAATTCCCAGTCAGGGCACAAGCCTGGGTTACAGGACCAGTCCCCCGCCCCCACCTGGGAGTGTGCAAGGGGCGACAGATCTATGTTTCTCTCCTCTTTCTCCCTCCCTTTCCCTCTCTCTAAAAATAAATTTAAAAAAAAATACACACATAAATTTTCAGCTGCATGTACATTCAACACCCTTAAAATATAAGACCTGGTAAGAAAGAGTTTTGTCTCTGAGAAGAAAAACAAATACAGGAGTAAGACAGAGACTTGGCCTCATACACCCTTTTGAACTTTTTTCCATGTACTGTCTATTCAAAAAAATACATTTTTAATTTTAAAGAATCTAAGGTTACTGAAAAAAATATAATATATAAATGGTATGCTGATTCACTATCAGTAAAGTTTATGCTTTTCAGTTTACAATAATGATATTCACAACAGTGATGATGCATTTATACTGATGTGTGAAGAATATCTCATACCAGCATAATTTTCTTTCATGATCTTCTAGAATTAAAGGTATAATCTAACCTGTTTTGATTATCCCTTACACAGACAGAGACATTATCATGGCCCCCTTAGCTGCTAATACCCTTGCTTTTAAATATAAATAGTACAGCTCTGGCTGGTGTAGCTCAGTGGACTGAGCTCCAGCCTGTGAACCAAGGGGTCACTGGTTCTATTCCCAGTCAGGGCACATGCCTGGGTTGCAGGCCAGGTTGCCAGTAGGGGGGCACGTGAGAGGCAACTACACACTGATGTCTCTCCCTCTCTTTCTCCTTCCCTTCCCCTCTCTCTAAAAATAAATAAATACAATATTTTTAAAAGAAATAAAAATAGTATAACACAATGTAAGTGGATTTTATATTTGTAAATTTTAAGGCATTTGAAAATTATTTATGGGGGAACAAATATTATTACCTGCATTTGAAAAAAGGGGTAAGTCAAAATCTAAGTGACTTGTTTAATTAAGGTCAACCAATAAGTTACAAAAGGAAAGACACATTAAAACTTGACTTTTTAAAAGCCTCCTCAAAACTACTTTTTTCAATGGCTAGACAATAGGAACCTTCTAAAAGCATCTGTGTGTGTGTTGTGTGTGAGTGTGGGCATGCCCACAAAGAAACGGACAGAAAATAAATGAATTTTTAGCCATCATCAATTCCTTACTGAGAAATATTTGGTCCCTTTCTGTCAAAAAGCATGCTAGATTTGAAAATACAAGTTTAAAAGAATACTGTGAAAGAGTAAGTAGCCCAGCTAAGAAGAGGGAAGTGTCTAGGCAATACAGGTGACATCTGAGTTGAGTTGGAAGGATGAAGAGGAAGTGAGAAAAGGGGAAGGAACATTCTGTGCAGAGGCTGAGCACATGCAAAGGTTTGGGAATGAGGAACGAGTGTATGTAGCTACAGGGACGGACGGAAGGTTCATGGTGGGAAATGCAGGTAAAACAGAAGGCTGGAGGTAGTTTGGGAAGTGCAACTATAGGCAGAAAAATATAAAGAAAAATCAAGGTTCCAAAAAGATATGATGACTTAAGGGAACAAAATATTGTAAAAAAAAAAAAAAAAAGGTACTTAAAAGGCCAGAGGTTATTTAACCTAATACACTCCAAGCCCAGGAAAGCATCTTCTACAGACTGATAGAAAAACTGTTTTGCCCGAGAATGAGACTGTGATTCCTCCTCCTGAACACCGGCAACAAGAGCAAGAAAAAAAAAGATTAAGTATTCAATTCTGATGATACTACAATAAAGGTGAGTAAAAAACACTGGAAAGACTTAGGATAAGGAGGCAGAAACTCAAATGACTTAAAGGCGAAATTGAGAGGGTATAGATCAAGACTGTTTTTTGAAGCAAAAAGTGGCATCTCTTTTTCAGGGAGTATTTTACAAGAGAGGCTTACTTCCATGGGAGGATTCAAATACGGTCCTGTACCTGTTTCCGATACAGCATCCTCAGAATGCCTTGTCCCCCTTTCATCCCTTGTGATTCCACTAACCTCAGACTGTGAATGGAATAAATATGATCGTACCAAACAAATGCAAAAACCTATCATTATTTACTTGGATAATAATCAACGGAAGACATATCTAAGTCACAAAATACTTTTCAAAGGGGTCAGTGCTATTATTTTTTCATATGTATACTAATGCCGAAATATTTTCAATGGTGTATAAAATTTTACCATTATGGAAGCATTGCTTACAGGCAACCTTCTTTCTTAAAGTAAGTCAGGAATTTGCACTACAGTTGTGAATTCTAAACTAGTTAGCTATTTTCTTCATAAAAAAGAACAATGACAAATTTAAACAGAGCCCCCAAACTTAAGTAGAGCAAATGCCCACAAATCACAAAACTGTAGAGTTTAAACTAGCATGTTCTCATCACATATGAAATATCAACCACATGACATTTTAAGAGAAATTCAAACAACTGGCAAGTAGGGTAAATGTTGATCCTTAATGGAAATTAGTATATTTTTTTCTAAACATGTAAAATGTTAACTGATCGAACATGAAGAGTACCTGGTGGATGGAATCAGGTTGAGTATCCCATTGAGAACATAGCTGAACTCCGCGTGATCCTGAGCAACAAGCGCCACCAGGCCCTCACAGCAGGCTGTCCGGACCACTACATTATCACTGCAACACTTCTCCCACAGCAAGTTCAAAGCAGGAGTCTGAAATCAAACCAGTAGTTAAAGGACACTTCTGATGAGCAACAAATGCACACACACTACCAGCCCTGCATCAAAGTGTAATTTGTTCATAGTGGGCTAGCTCTCCCACACAAAGATAAAGCTGCTGTCAAAGCATTTGCAGAATACACTAAAGTCAGTTTTTCAAGAGAGGTAATGGATGTATTCTGATACAGGAACTCTCTCTCATCTGGTGTATTTGCTGAAAATAAGCCTGGGTGCCAACAGGTATGACATCAGTTGGAGCAACACAACAGAACAGGGGACCAGAACTAAGACTTGGCTCCAGCACAGGGCTCTAGGCAGAGCAAGCCCACTTGCATCAGACACCAAGGACATCAGCAGACCAGTTAGTCTCAGTTGAATTCGAATCCACACCTATGCTTCAAAGCCCTCAACAACAACCCCATTCTCAGAAAATGTTCCTGCTCTACTAAAGGTAACAACCTTTATTACCTACATGCATTCCCCCCCAACCCACCCCATCCCCCACACATACAATGTCCCTGCCCAAAGGGGCCCAGATGGAACAGAGAAAAGTAGGGCTGGCTACCAGCAACCTGCTGGTTCCATGACTGCCAACAAAAGCCTAGAAAGACTGTTTGCCCGTGAAAGAGACTGACTTTTTCCGCCCTCATGCCGTGAATCTGTTATCATTCATAGAAAAACACTGGAAAGTTATGTAAGAAAATGTAAGTTCTTTATTTTGAAAAATCCCATAAAGGCAGAGGTTCTAACTTTCATAACCTTCTCAGGAACCCATAATCCTCTCACCAAAATAAAAGGTTCACTAGTAATGATAACCCCATATTTAAATGTATTGTGGATCAAGTCCATTTAGATTTACATACAGTCTGGGGATCTTTTCGGTTTGTGGCTTAAAAACACACACACACATACACACACACACACACACACACACACACAGTGAAACTATTTTTTCCTTTCCTTTCTTCCTCCAATAGTTTTTTGGGGAAACATATAACTTGGAGACAAAGATTAAAACCTCCAGCTCCCAAAGAATAACTAAAGGAATGAAAATCAACATCTTATTGTGTCCACTTTCCTCTGTAGGTGGCTCTGGGAGCCTTTTCAATTGTAGGATCCTACTATACCAGAACAATATAGTTAAGGGTCACTGCAGGAAAGTAATATTTATATTCCATTTCTTTTATTCAGAGGGAAGTTTTATTTACCTGTTTGGATAATATCAAAGGGTTCTAAATGTCATCACTCCATTACTAAGTCAGAAAACCAAAATAAATAAATAAATAACTGTCCCTTCAGGGACTACTATGTTCCCCTGGAAGTAAGTGTTCATTTATTAATGCAAAAGGGAATATTTGGTCATAGGGGCTGACACTGTCAATAAACCCTGGCATTTTAAGTAAAACCACTAGCTCTTGTCAGAATACATAATGAGACTACAGGCAGGATTAAGATTAGAGTTCTCCGAAAAGTTCATTTAGATAACTACATACAAACACCAGATAAATGCCAATCAGTGAAGTATACCCCTACACTTCCTTCAGCATGTCAGCAGAAGCAGTAAAGAAATGTAACTTGGAGCAGCTAATCAAAAGGAATGCAAGAGAAAGGAAATCAATTTGTTTCTGCTGTGAAAAAAATAATAATCTCATTTCCGTTACCTACATTCTCTATAGAGTTTACCTTAGAGCAGCTACTTCAGTACAATTTCCAACCAGCATGTCAAGATACACAACACTGGTCAACCAAAACCCAAGTGATATGTATACTCAGTAAGCTGGCTTTGCTCCAACAGTGAGCATTCACCTGCGTTATGCACGGTGCAGAATTTTTCCTCCAATTCCAACTGTCATTTCGTGACTTTTCCACATATGGGGCCACCTACAACATGAAATATCTCCTGCACTCAAAGGGAGCCACTATGTCCACTTTCTCTATGAAACAAAAATACTCCCTCAGAGGTAACCCTATCAACCTTCTCTAAAGCAGGCCTACTCTCATCCCACCCATGTTGTTCTTCATTAATAACCATAAAATTACTCCTCTTACCCCCTCCATATCTTATTCCTGGAGTCTGTTGTCAAAAATTAAAATTTTTTAACTATTTGGAAGAAAATAATAGCAAAAAAAAAGGCAATATACTTCTCACAATTTCAAATCATTTCTGCAGTGACCTGAGCTGTGAAGGAAACAAAAGACATGCACATATGATCCAGGCAGCAGCAACATCTGGACAGAATGAAAGCACAAAGTTCAACACACACCTGGTTTGTGGACTGATGGATCTTTTCTGAAAAACCATTTTCCTTCAGGACTGCAGCAATAAGATGACCCACAGCCTTTAAAAAAAAATACATTTTTCTCAGAAATTCTCTTTAAATATTGCATTTGAAGGTAACTAATATCAATATCAAGGTAACGATATCAAGGTAACTACTACTTGATATGAGTATGAGTATGCCAGTCAACTGGTAACAAAATTCCAAGTCACTGAGTACGTGCTATGTAGAATGCACTGAATTACTTGTATTTTGCCAAATATAACTCACATTTTCTTGCCCAAATTTTTGGGCATTTCTTGCCCAATTTTCTTTGTACATTATACACAGGCATAATGATTACCTACCATGGGTATAATAATCCCGTGTATAATGTGCACAAAAATGTGGGTGTGCATTATACATGGCAAAATGTGGTAATCAGTCCACATGCATAATTTCTTATCATCCCAACATCTGTCAAGGTAAGCATTTTTACCCTGATTTTTATCCCAGTAAGCAAACTATAGTTCACAGATGTTAAGAAACTTGCTGGATTTTCAGTTCGAATTGCTGTCCCTTAATATAAGATGCCTTGAGATCACCTGGTACATGAAACTGTAAGACAAATAAGCTTTTAAAATCCACCTTTGCATCTCAATGAACTTCCTGCTTCATCAAGCTCTTAACAAAGATGGAAAAAATGCATCCTCATCTGTGACCAAGGCCCACACGGATCTGAACCAATGGGTCTCCCCTGACCACAGCTGTTCTCCCTCCTCTAGGCTCTATGATTTAATTTCTTGATTATTTTCTCACAGGTTTTAGCCCTTTAACAAGCTTTCAGCCTAAATCTCTAAAATTTTCCCATATCTTGCTTTGGTCTATAACCTCAAATTTGAAGCTAATATTCTTAGAGGAATACTGATTACATAAATAGGTAAATATTATTACCTCCTACCACCTCAATCTCATTCTTCTAGCTCTTCAGCACTACCCAGCTCCACTGTCACAGAACCCAGTCCTGCAACAAGGACAGCCATTCTGTGTGTGGGGGATGGAAATAGTTGGCAACTGCAACAACTGTTGATCCTGCACTTGGGACCTATGTATGATACAGCTGTGAATACCTGTCAGTCTGGCAAAGTTTCCAGAAAGGCTCAATAGAAACAGAGCACCCAGTCCTTCATTTCTTTTTGTATTTCACACATTAAAAATGATTAAAGACCTCAATGCTTGATGGTGTCAATTTTGCAATAAAAATCAGTCGTTTCCATGAATATTAAGTTTAGATCAATTAAATTTCTCTTACCTCTTAGTTAAAGGGATAGTAACAAGAATTGAGGACCAGTGAATAGATCTGGTTCCTGTTTACAAAATATACCATATTTCACTGAATGTAACTGGCCATCAATTATAAGATATAGCATTGTTTTATGTACTAGAATGAAAGAAAAAAGGTTGCCAATTAACCCACGTTATACAGTGTTTCATATAACTTAGAATTTTTGTTTTATATTAAAAAATAGCTCCTTCAAACTCATTTAGAAAATCAGGGCCAAGTTCACAAATATACAGGCAATACCAACTGACTGATGACTACTACTATCAATTACTAGATACACCCCAATATCACAGATGTTAAAATCTGAGAATATAGCCTAAATTAATTTGAAAATACAAAATTCAAGGCTGTGTCAGCCTATACTGTTACTCTAGTTTTCTAATAACAGAATAACTCAAATAGATGTCCTACAATACATACATGCTTTTCATTTACTTTAACAGTAACACACAGGCATTTCTTGATTATCTGTGCTAATGAAGGGAAACCAGGCACAGAAAAATAAAAATTGTGCATAGGTGGAAGGGAATCGTGCATAAGGGCTGTTCTCCTCCTCATTGAAGGGTTGGTTCCCCATAGCCAGCCAAGGTACCCCAGCAGGTGCCTCTGAAATTAACTGCTGAAGTTCTTCAAGATGCTATATATTGTTAAGTCTTCAGACAGGTCTGCTGTTCCTTTAAGCTTTATTCTCATGAGAAAAGGGAGTAAGCTATTATGATTCTTTAATTGACCTCAATGCTTCTAGTTAGCTGATGGCTAACCAGAAAGCCATCTTTGTTTTAACCCTAATCATTAAAAAGCTCTCTAAAATAAACCAGAATCTCTTGCCTGAGATAGTATATAGACTGAAGTTTTAAAATCCAGAATATTTTATTTATTAAATGTCATTATTATAAAAATTGATTATTCTTAATAGTTGCATTGGGGTAGAATAAACCTGTTAAGAAACCTGTTAATCTCTCATACTCTGTAGATGTATATATCAAATGTATAACCATTTATTTATGTTCTCAATAGTTAATTATATACCAAAAATACATATACGAGTAGTTAATCAAGGTTTTATTATTCTAAGAAGAAAAGTATGACATGAATAGAAGCTGAGCCCTGGCCTCAGCTTCAGACATACTTCACTGTGTCTCCGTTGGCTGGAGCATCATCCCGTAACTGAAAGGTTGTGGGTTCAATTCCTGGTCAGGGCACATACTTATACATACGCTGTGGGTTGGATCCCCAGTTCAGGCGTGTACAGAAGGCAACCAATCAATGCTTCTCCCTCCCATCGATGTTTTTCTCTCTCTCCCTTACTCTCTCTCTTGCCCTCTCCCTAAAAGCAATTTAAAAAATGTCCTCAGGTGAGGATAAAAAGAAAAAAAAATTTTTAATTGAAGCTCAGATTGGTCAATTTCAAACATTTACTTTCTTGCCAAATATAAATTTTCAAATTAACTCATATAAAAGTCATTTAATAAAATTATATCTCTATATAGAGAGTAAAATATTCAACATTTGTCACCATGAAACATAAATAAATAAATAAATAAATAAATAAATAAATAAATAAATAAATAAATAAATAAATAAAATTACCTGTGATTGGATAAGAGAATTTGGAAACTCAAACCTTTTCCTGATATCATCTGACATTTTTGCTTCTCTTGCAGGTATGTATGCAGATTCTATAATCAAAACAAAAGAATATTTGTTAATCTGGAAAAGGAGTTCAAACCAATTATTCCTCAAATAACACGAAAGTAATTAATTCCAAAGTCAACAATGGAAATAAAGCACAGGGCTCTGCAAAGTAATCCCTGCCATACACTTCACTGTTAACAACTGCAGTCCTCAAATGCCATGATTGATAAGCCAAAATGCCCCAAAGCTCTTTATTTTTCCCATTGGAGCTAGTACAGAAACTGATGAACCACTCTAAAAAAATTCAAAAATTTTAGCCTACGCAACACAATTTTTAAAGTTCAATAGCATATTTGAAATAGAAATTAATTGTTTTATCAATCAAAACTTCTCAGGGAGAAATAAACTTTAAAAAATTGTTTAAACTGTGCTTTGCTTTTGAACAAATCTTTCATTTAAACACTAATCCAACTGCTAGTGACAAGTGTGAAGCCTAGGTGAGCTTTTTTCGGGTAGTATAGAAATGGCCTAGAAACTCACACATCAGAACAGACTGCTTGTCTCCTAAAAGAGAAAACAGTAAGCAATTAGCAACAAACTTTAATATTTACATCACACCTCTCTCCTTCCTACTGGGGTCTTCAAAACACACACACGCACACGCTACAGGATGAAGGAGGGCAGGTGATAAATCAAAAGCACAGAATAAGAAGATTTCCTCAGGATCCCAATTTATCTATTTCCCATGCAGCACTGAAACTCGCTAAATTACTACTTTGAAAAATAGATGTCTTAGCTCACCTATTTACTGCAATATAACTTTAAAAAAATATGTCACTATAATACCTCAAGTTACTTAAATAATGGGTTGCAAAACCAAGCTCTCCTGATCTCAAAATTGAAGGTCCCTTGTGTTGAACTTGAGGCTCTTTCTAGCTACTTTCCTCCCTTATTCAGCTAACATCCCTGAATAAAAAATTCATCCCAGACTTCTTCTTCAACATGTAGGCCTACTTTCCTCCCTTGAATTTGATATTTCACAGCACTGAAACTTGTTCTAAGACTGCAAACAATGTTCCCTATCTAAATCTACTCTTTAGCTTAAACAGGTCAAAATTTCAACTTCCCAGGTGCACTAACCTCACCTTTCTTGAAGTTTGCTTCTCTTTCGAATTCCCTAAGACATCATAACAGAATTTTCCAAAGTGTGTCCCTGGGAAGCCCACAATAAAGAAATCTCAATGGGGAGGAAAAAAGTATATATTGCCATCCTGAGGATCTCATTCACTCACTTACTTCACTAGATGCCTACCGTGTATCAGAAACTGTTCTGGCAGCTTAGGCTACCTCAGTGAACAAAATTGACACACCTCCCTACACTCACAGAGCTTACAGTCTAGCAGGAAGAGGTAGACAGTGAATTAAAAAATAATAATAATAAATAAAACAGCATGTTCAAAACTGATAAGCACTATGGAGAAAAAGGTAATAAAGTAGATGGAGTAAAGGGGATGAGATATGAGGGAAGGACAAACTTTCTATTTTAAATATGGTGGCCAGTGTTGGTCTTTCCTACAGAGAGTAGGTAGCATTGGGAATTGTTAGCCATACAAATATTTCTGGAAAGTGTCACAGGCACAGAAAACAGTGGCTGCAAAAGCCCTTAGCTAATTAAATGCTTAAGACCTGTTCCAGAAAAAACAGCAATGAGTTGGGCACAGAATGGAAGAGGAAGAGAATTGTAAATTAGAGTCAGTGAGAAGCCAGATCGTAAAAGGCCTTGTAGTCTACTGGAAGGACTGATGCATTTATCCTGAATGAAACAGGAAACAACTACAGAAAGGAAAAAAAAGGTGGTATGATTTTAATAGAATCACTTGAAATGAGAAATGATATCTGATTCTGGATATCACTGAAGGAAGAGCCAACACGGTTTCTAAAGGATTAGGTAACAGTATAGGAGAAAGAAAGGGTCGAGGGTGACTCCATGTTTTTTAATCTGAACCACTTTATTTTTAATCTCCTTTCTTTTGGAAATTTTACACATTAAGCAAAACTACTCAAATATTACTTATCAAGGCATTTAAAAAAAGAAAAGTATGCAGTTGCCATCAACTGAGGTAAGAAACAAGTTTTGTGGGGGCAGATGAGGAACTCGTTTGGAACAGGTAAGTTTTAGAGGACTAATATATAGTCAAGTGGAAATGGCAGGTGGAAACTTGGATACGTAAATCTATAATTGGAATGACTAATCTAAATAATAGTGCATATTATTAAAGAATCTGAGAAGTTCTTGAGCAAGAAGTTTGATTAACTTTGCTGTTTATGGCACCCTTTTTTCCCTCTACGTTCAGTCTAGCTTTCTGGCTTGATCCTCCTTCTGTCCTCTCTGCTTCTTGAGCTCCGTCTTCCTTCCCAAAGGCACCTGAAGTCTCGTACTTTGTACTCTCTTCCTTTATGTAAACTCTCCCAGAGCCTTCATCCAGTCCATATCTCCAAATACCCAGTCTCTCTTACAAAGTTCTGAGCATCAGAAATTGGAGATGTCAATATCAAAACACATTTTCTATCTTAAAAACCGTTAGCAGACTTTCAGTCAAGATAGAGGTATAGGTAAACACAGCTCATCTCCACACACAATGACATCAAAATTATAACTACAGAACAGCCATCACTCAGAATCATCAGATCAAGTTGAATGGAAATCCAACTACAGAATTAAAGAAACCACACCCATCCAGACTGGTAAGAGGGGTGGAGATGTGGAACAGGCTGGGCTGGTTCCACATCCATGTGTGGTAAATAAAAATTTGGGAGGGATATCTCAGGAGTGAGGAGTCCCAGTCCCACACGAGGCCCCTCATCCCAGGGTTCCAGTGCCAGGAAGATAAGTCCCCATCCCTCCTGGCTGCAAAAACCAATGGGAATTGAATGTGTGGGGGAAACTTTTGGGAGTCCAAAGCAGATCCTCTTAAAGGACCCACACCCACGTATGGACTTATTCAGACTTACTCTCTCTGGACTCTAGCACCAGGGTAGTTGCTTGAAAGATGCCACTGGCATACAAGGAGAAATGGAAGTGTCTGGCATCAAGGTGAGAGCTGGAGACAGCTTTCTCTCCAACAGAAAGGTGGGCGGATGCTATTGTCCCTATTCTGAACCCTCTACCTACTGAGCCACAGAGCTGGCGGGCTGATTGCATATCAGAGACTCCATCAACCAGGCTAACAACTGTTTGCCCCACCCTGGAGATACAGATACCATGAAGTTCTAACCCACTGAATTTATGGGCTCACCTAAGCTGCTAACAGTGGCTTTTCCATATGAATGGCTGGTCTTGGCTCTTGCTTCGCAACCTTCTAAATCTTTTCAAACAAGCAATGGTTGGCCTCTGTGAGGACCCCAGCCCCTGTGCCTCTTGCTAAGTGGCCCCAAGCCCTGCACTCACAGGAGCCAGTCTAGATTCACAGCTTGGTTTTACCTGGGAATCTCAAAGCCCAGCACAAGTAGCAGCTATCTGCAGTTGCTTTATAGCTCATGCAAGGTGGCCCCAGGGCAGGACACGGTTCAGGCTAACCTTGGCTTACAGCACTTGGGAAACCCAGAGCCTGTGGACCCAGGGGACATCTACAGGCCATATCAGAGCACCATCACCCTGCCCCTACACAGCTGATTCTCCATGAAAGGCAGAGGTTAGTGGTCAGTGGTCACAGACAATCCTTGCAGCTGACTGGCCTGGGTAAATAAATCCCTCCCACCGACCTGCCAGCAGCACTCAAGGCTCAACTACAAGAGGAGGTGTACTCAGCCCACTAGAAGAGTGCACCTTGAGTACCCAGATTGGGTGATAGGGGAGACTGTGCCACTGTACCCTACAAGGACACCTACTACATTTGGTCACACTACCTAATACATAGAAACGAACACAAGGAGGCTGCCAAAATGAAGAGACAAAGAAACATGGCCCAAATGAAAGAACAGATCAAACTCCAGAAAAAGAGCTAAACAAAATGGAGATAAACAATCTCTCAAATGCAGAGTACAAAACACTAGTTAAAAGGATTCTCAAGGAAATTAGTGAGGACCTTAACAGCATAAAAGAGATCCAGTCAGAAATGAAGGAGACATTAATTGAAATAAATAACAAATTACAGGGACTTAACAGTAGAGTGGATGAAGCAGAGAATCAAGTCAATGATTTGGAACATAAGAAAGCAAAAAACAACCAATCAGAATAACAAGAAGAAAAAAAATCCAAAAAAATGAGGATAGTGTAAGGAGCCTCTGGGACTTCAAGCATTCCAACATTCACCCACAGCGGTGCTAGAAGGAGGAGAGAATGAGCAGGAAATTGGAAATCTATTTGAAAAAATAATGAAAAAAACTTCCCTAATTTAGTGAAGTAAATAGACATGCAAGTCCAGGAAGCACAAAGAGTCCCAAACAACATGGATGCCAAGGGCCACACCAAGACATATAATTTAAAAAAACAAAGGTTAAAGATAAAGAAAGAATCTTAAAAGCAGCAAGAGAAAAGCAGTTAGCTAACTATAGGGGAGCTCTGATAAGACTGTCAGCTGATTTCTCAAAAGAAACTTTGCAGGCTAGAAGAAACTGGCAAGAAAGATTCAAAGTCATGGAACACAGGGACCTACAGCCAAGATTGCATTACCCAGCAAAGCTATCATTTAAGATGGAAGGGCAGATAAAGAGCTTCATAGACAAGAAAAAAATTAAAGGAGTTAATCGTTATGAACCCATTGTTATATGAAATAGAGACTTATTTAGGAAAATGAGGATCAAAACTATGAAGAATAAAATGGCAGTAAATACATATCCATCAACAATTGAATCTGAAAAACATAGTAAGCAATAAAGAGGAAGAGAGACAGAATCGGGAATATGGAGAATGTTTTGTTGGTTGCCAGATGGGAAGGAGTTGTAGGGAAATGGGTGAAGAGGTGAGGGGATTAAAAAGCATAAATTATAAGTTACAGAATAGTCATGGGGGTGTAAAGTACAGTATAGGAAATGGAGTAGCCAA